CCTTGTTAGAGTGTGTTAATTTCAAAATTTTTATTAGTATTACTGCTACTACTACTACTACTAGTATGGTTCAGTATTGTTTTTTTAATAAAGCATTATTTTAGTTTTTGTTCAGTATCCATTTATTTATCGGTTAATTAATCTGTATCGGCCAGTGTAGTCCAACCTAGCTATCGGTATCGGCAAAATCCACTATCGGTTAATATAGAAATATTAAATGATTTAAATAACTGAAAAAATGAAAATAAAACTGCCAGCAGGTGGCAGCAAGTCACTGATTTTTATCACTGAATCATTCATTCAATTGATTAATTCGAATGGCTGATTCATTCAGTGACTGTCTTTATGAATGGGTAATCATGAATCACTGACTCACTAGATTTGTTTAAAAAACCCCGTTCATTCATAAACAAAACACAGCTGTGTTTGAATGGAGATGCGCGGTGTCTTTGTTTTAAACTATTTTCGACGACGAAATCAAACAATAGTGTTATTGTCAGACAATGTAAGTCACAATATTAACTTCTTGTTTATTGAATTGTATTGTATTAAATAGAGGTCGACCAATGTATCGGTTTTGCAGATTAATCGGCACCGATAGTTTTTTTGGGTTGCGTCCGTTGCTGGAACGGCTGAGAAGGGTGTGTGTGATACCGGTGAGTTCTCCTAGACTCAGCGCTGCGCTTTTATTTTGATTAGATAATCATCAAGTGTTCAAGAATAGAAGAAGTTAAAGTGTGAGAGTATACATACAATATCCATATGTATATAATTTTAATGCTATGGCCTTTGTGTATATATTTAAAGATGTGCCTCTTTAAGCATGACTGTTGAAATGAAATGGTAACACTTTAAAATAAGAGTCCATTTGTAACATTAAGATTAATGAAAACTGTGTAATAAAAGTATTGTTCCTTGTTAGAGTGTGTTAATTTCAAAATTTTTATTAGTATTACTGCTACTACTACTACTACTAGTATGGTTCAGTATTGTTTTTTTAATAAAGCATTATTTTAGTTTTTGTTCAGTATCCATTTATTTATCGGTTAATTAATCTGTATCGGCCAGTGTAGTCCAACCTAGCTATCGGTATCGGCAAAATCCACTATCGGTCGACCTCTAGTATTAAATCAGTATCACATTTACAAGCTCCCTTAAAAATCATTAAAAGCTGTCACTCATCTTAGTTCATCGCGATCTCACATTTATAATCAACAAAGCTCTCTACACTGCGCAATGAATCTCTTATTTACACCCTGTCTACACTTTGCTTATGAAAAGATTCATGAGATATGTCTGTGATACATTACTCAACGCTGCAAAAGCACTTAGAAACCTTTGAAGCTCCCCTGAGTGCAATCACAAGTATGATGATGATCGTGCGACTGAAATGGTTGCATTGTAGAGCCCTGGCTGTACGCGGTAGACCAATCCAGAGCCAATCTCTCTACAGCTCTGGACCAATCACAAAGGACTGCGACATCTGACCAATCACAGCAGTTAGGGCTCACCGAAAGGAGGGGTTTAGAGAGATTCTTTAAACTGCTTCGCACAAGTCGTTTACGAATCATTTAGAAATGAGGTAAACTTAAATCTATTTTTCTATTAACGTGTTTTTTTTACCTTGCATGCATGTAAACCTGTTTTAGGAGACTCCTAAAACAATATTAGCAACCTTAAAAATGGCATAATAGGGGCACTTTAAGATACCATTCACACGTCAGTGACAAATTACTAGTAAAATGTGATTTTAGTAATCAGAAATGACCTTTAAAATACTGCATTGTTTTCTTCATCCACCTAGATGAGGAGCGCATTAGTTTAACTATCTATCCAACTTGACAATCATTTTTTTTGTATTTTTTTACACCCTGTCTACACTTTGCTTATGAAAAGATTCATGAGATATGTCTGTGATACATTACTCAACGCTGCAAAAGCACTTAGAAACCTTTGAAGCTCCCCTGAGTGCAATCACAAGTATGATGATGATCGTGCGACTGAAATGGTTGCATTGTAGAGCCCTGGCTGTACGCGGTAGACCAATCCAGAGCCAATCTCTCTACAGCTCTGGACCAATCACAAAGGACTGCGACATCTGACCAATCACAGCAGTTAGGGCTCACCGAAAGGAGGGGTTTAGAGAGATTCTTTAAACTGCTTCGCACAAGTCGTTTACGAATCATTTAGAAATGAGGTAAACTTAAATCTATTTTTCTATTAACGTGTTTTTTTTACCTTGCATGCATGTAAACCTGTTTTAGGAGACTCCTAAAACAATATTAGCAACCTTAAAAATGGCATAATAGGGGCACTTTAAGATACCATTCACACGTCAGTGACAAATTACTAGTAAAATGTGATTTTAGTAATCAGAAATGACCTTTAAAATACTGCATTGTTTTCTTCATCCACCTAGATGAGGAGCGCATTAGTTTAACTATCTATCCAACTTGACAATCATTTTTTTTGTATTTCTGTGTGGCAGGCGTAAGGAACCACCCCCATCCATTTACTGCACTGCATCCGTTGTAGACATTATCACTGATCCTAAAGGGATTGGGAAAACACTTTAAACTGTTTGATGCATGTTTTTTTTTTTTAAAGGACTCTACTGCATACATTTAATAGCACTGTTTATTATTTTTTGCATAGTAACTTGAGTCTATTTAGTGAGCCAATTAAGATTTTTTTTGAAAGCCCAATTATATTGTCCCTTAATTTTCATAGTAATTTGAGCCTATTTAGTAAGTCAATTAAGAATTTTTGAAAGATAAAACTGATTTTGTCCCCAAATTTATATGACCATAATTCAACCTTTTTTTTTTACTATATTCTTATAACTGTAATTTGTGATTTTGCAGTGAAATGTGACCCGAACATGTATTTGACATTTTCAATCATTTTACTCCTCTCCTCATCACCACCCATATTATATTTCCATGCGGCGATTTTCTGCTGCACAGCTGTTGCCGTGATGGTGTTTTACTCTTGCGTGTAGCGATGTAGCAAGGCAGCGCTGTGGCCTGTCTAAACAGGGTTTTCAGCTGGTTGGAGGAATAATCCATCCGAGGTCTCTGGTGACATTAGTCACAGTAGCAGAGCTGATCTGAAGAGGTGTGAAAGGATGCTGCAGTGGTTTAAGGATTTCAGTGAGAGAAAGAGAGACAAGAAAAGGCAGGAAAGACGAGATTAGATCAGCTGGAGTCAGCTGACTGCTCTATGTTGTGGACTGTCTATCTGGCAGAGGCGCGAGTCGGCGAGAGAGAAAGTGGGGAAGGGAGGGCGGGATGCTGTACCATCTGAGCTGAATGTATAATCAAGCATCTGCCTCCGACATGTGAATGGTTACAGCTCTCCAGTGAGCGTGAGGGAGGGAGCAAATGAGTGGCTGTGTTAGCTGGGAGGGAGGGTGGGAGCTTGTGTGCGTGTGATCAGAGTAATCTGCCTGCGGATGGATAGAGAGGAGCGAGATGGAGAGCCGATCGCTACTACGCGAGGCAGGCGGCAGGCACCTCAGCCCCCTCCTTGACTTGGAGTGACAAGGACAAGCAGGTGGCATCGCTAACATGACAGTCTTCCCACAGCTCCCCACCACCTTCCCACAGTCCCTCCTTACTGGCAGCACTGCAGCTTCTGTGCATTTTTTGCGCTCTGTGCAGAGAATATTTACTGTGATAGTGGTTGTCAGTACCTGGACTTGATTCTTTTGGTTTTGACCACCTTTAATATACGCTTCTTTTTGACTTTCCCTCCCTTTCTCTCTGTTTTTTCCTCCGTGGGTTTATGATGTAATGGCTGCAGTTTTCACAGGAAATCACTAGTCTGGTAAGCAGATGAACAGTGCATGTCTATTGTAATGCTTTTTTTTATTTAGAAATGTCATGCATGTCATTGTATTACAGTTGGTTGTTGATTTCCTGTCCCTTGTCATTTTCAGATGACTGTCATGATGCTTCTGGTTATGTGTAGCATAGTACCGTGTAGCGTGTTGAACGTCTCGATCGCAGTAATGTAGATATTGTGTGACCGGTTTGATTTAGCTGTGTGGGTAGTTCTCAGCTATATCCAGCAGTCAAATTTACTGTGCCTCGCCCCTTTTTCCTCATTTCTCTCTTTTCCTATGATGAACTTTGGCCTGTGTAACAAGCTGGCTGTGGCATTTCATGAAAGTAGGGGCGAAGTTCCCTACTACTGATACCAGATTCGGTTTGTATAGTTATGCAAAAGGAATGTAACTGTATGATGGGTTGAAAGTCCACTTTACATGAATTGCTGTCATGTTTTGAAAGACACCAAATTGGAGGAAGACAAACAATATGGAGCCCAGTATTTGTTTTAAATCTGACATTCTCAAACTGAATTCCTGCGATAGTTGTTTACCTTAAATTGTGGATTTAAACATGATTACGAAGGTCAGAATCAGCGCCGTTTCTAATCAGGGCCATCATTCACCTCTGGCTTCAGTGTCGCTTCGGTCATGTGTGGTGACCCGAACGGTGGGTGACATCACTTTTTTGTTACTCTGAATTGCTATTTATTGTGATTATTTTGAGCTGCCTAGTGCTTCCTTTGGAGATGCATCTCGGTGAGTGAAATGGAGGCTGGTCTTGCTTTCCAGCACCATAATAAAATTGAAAGGGAATTACCTATTTGCTTCCAGCCGAGATCAGATCGCAGCTGTTTTTTACAGTCATACACAGCAGAAATGGTAATTAGAACTTTGTAGCCCTGTAGTTTAGAAGTCAAGTTAATTACTGTAGGTGTATTTTTGTTCTGAACTGTCAGCTTTAGATATTGTTATGAATATTATAGAATTCTCCAGCACTTGGTGCACCAGAGTACAGCTCACACTTCTGACCACCTGTCAAACTCCCACACGCAAATGTAATGCTGTCCTCCCACACAGGGATAACTATTTGTAGAAAATCATCATGAATTTCAAGTTTTCTCTGATACAGTGAATACTATTCCAATTTACCTGATTCTTTCTTCCACAGGCCTATTCCCAAGATGCCTACCTTAAGGGTCATGATGCATATAGTGGAAATGCACGCCATATACCGGAGCCACCCCCTACATGTTACCCTCGAGTAGACTGTAAGCCCCCGGTGATGGCCCAGGCCACTGAGACATCAGCCCCGGGGGTTGTACCATCTGATCTAGGATACCGTGTGGAGATACCAGTACCTCCCTCCCCTCCACCACCCATTCCAAAGACACAGACTGCAGTGTGTGTGTGCAATGAAAGTGTTCGGACGGTGGTGGTACCTCCTGATGTACACATGGGCCGTATGGTTCCGAGTCATAGGGTCGACTATGGTCTAGTAGGCCCAGATCCAATGCTGATCAGAGCCAGGCCTGGTACAGTGTCTGGTGGTCGCCCGCCATACCTCCACCCTCGCAAAGCTGACATGTTCCCTTCAGGTTACCATGGTGATCCTTATGCCATTCCACCTACACACTATGCGCCTGCTTCCTCCATTACCTCCCATGCTACCCACCAGAACATTGACTGGCGGACTTACCAGACATACCGTGAATATATTGATAATAAAGGTCTTCACACTCACAGTCGGACTATTCAAGAGCGTTTAGACAGCTTGCGAGCTGCATCCCAAAGTGTCCACATTGGCCCCCACTGTGGACCCCAACCTGGCTGGGGCAATAAGTTACGCCGCAGAAGCACATCTCATGACCGGGCTTACCAGGGCCCTTCTGTGCTTCCTCCACGCAGCACTTCGCAGGATAGGATGAGTGGGGCAGAGAGAGCAGCCCTCACCAGGGACTGGCCTCCTCGTAGTGTGTCCTCTGACGGCCTCATGCGTAAGCCACGTGTTCATTCGTCAGACTATGTGGAATATAGTGAGCTAGTTTCTCCTGCACCATGGGCTTCTGTGGATAGGCAGCTGTATGGTAGAGTAGACCAGAGGAGTCGTCCTAGTAGACAGTCTCTCCCACCTCGGGCGATCCTTTATCGTCCCCCAATAGGGTATGGTATGGTGGGTGTCAGGGGTGTTGCTGGCTCCCATATGCACAGCTCCAGAACAGACATCCCACCCACCGCTGGTTTTCCAGAGCGAACTCGCAATGGACTAAACCAGGCCAAAGAGCCTCCTTCCAAAGACCATAGTGGAACTGCTGTTGGAAATCGCATTTCTCATTCGTCATCGAACCAATCAAGAACTAGGGCTGAAACCAAGCAGAGCTCAGAAACTGGGAATGAAAATCCAGTCGGATATAGGTCAGCATCATACTCTGCTCCGCCTCCACAGAGGCCACAGTGTGGGGCATCAGCTCAGAGGACACACCCACGGGATGTCAAGGGCCTACCAGTAAACGGGTCCATGCCTGTGGAGGGTGTAGTTCTCCGAGAGAAGCCCCCAATAGGGAAGGGGACCCCACAACCTCTCCGCCATCACTCGTACATCCTTGCGGTGAATGACACGGATGGATCCGAGCCGGCAGGGGGTGTTGTCTGCTGGTTGCCCAATGATGCACGCCGGGAGATGCACATGCAGAGACTGGGGGAGCGGCTTGACTCCTCCTTCTGCTCCAGTAATCTGGACGAATCACTTGACTCCATTCCCTTCATCGGTAAGTGCACTCTTTGTAACCATAGCAACGCTAACCCGGCTACAAGCTTGCTCCAGCAGTAAGGATTGTTTTAGAGCTGCTGCAGATATTTTTGAACAGTAATTGCTTGTGTAGACAATAATGGTGATGTTTTTTGCAATTAATTTTTTGTCTGTACAATTTGGGCCATCAGTGATTTCCCGTATTAGTAATGCTCCAGTACCTTATGTGATATCAAACTGTGACCTTTCACTATCACAATTTCAAATCCCGACCCCATGTGTCCAGAAAGAGGATTATCATGGCCAAATCTTACTTTGTATTTTCTGTTGGATCAAACTCTCAAAGCTTGGAGAGTAGGAGTGACTTATGCAGAAGGTGCAAATCTAGGCCTGTGAGTGTGGCTGTTTGGAGTGACTGAAGGAGAGTGAGAGTGGCTGTGTGTGAGTCATGGTGTTGTTCAGGGAGGAGGTGGCCTTCTCTCATTCTCTTAATGCATGAGGATGGGTCTGGAATATTGAGTGATAGCTTAGCTGTGCTCTGTCACATTTTGTCTTTGATGCTTTGGTGTTTTTTGCACTAGCCTTCTGATATTAGGAATACACTGTAAGCTTCTTTCAGTGTTCGAGCCCAAAATCTCTGTTGCTTATCTTTCAGACTGATTATAATTATATGAATGTTTTTATGCATTTGGCTGTTTAGTCAAAATGATGGTTTGAACCGTATAAGCCATTTCAGACTAAAGACTAAATATTAGCTATTTTTAGCTATATCATCCAGATTTAGAAGTTGTGTTGGTCTAAACATTTATCAACACAATCATCATTTAGAATTACTGCTTTTATTTTATTAGAAGTGCTTTTATACTAGGGTCATTGACTCCAGTGGTTTCTGATGATTGTAAATCAATAACAATTAAGACTCTGAATAGATGTTGGGGTTCTCTTAGCTCTTTACTTTTTGGCATGCTCTAGATTTTTTCTTGGGTAACACATCTCCTCTTCTCTTTTTAGTTTTACTAGTTATGTGATGTGTATGTTTTGTGCAGATGACCACAATCCTAGCATTTCTGCTTCTGACTCTGCAAATCCCTTTGCTGTTTTAATGTTACTGTCATGCTCCCAGAATTTTCAGATAGCCTGGCAAGGGAGGGAAATCGTATACAACTGTGGAGTGATTGTTTGGTTTATCAGTGTATGAAAGAAATGCATGGTTGGACATGTAAGTATATGCAAGCGAGCACGATTGGTAGAGATTTATTTTAATTCATAAACAACAGATAAATGTTTTTAGCCGTGAAAGACATTAGTTATATTTACATTGTCCTAGGATTTGTATATGATGACCAAAGTATGCTATATTTTTGTCACATGACCTTGAGTGTCATTTTTGTGTTAACATATTGGGAATCAATATGGTTGTTTGTAATTGCATTTTGATTATATCATTTCCCGTACAAACTAATAGAGATATCAAAATAGAGATGTTATGAAATGTTATTCTAAAGATTAAAAGGGTGTAATTTTTTTCAGTGTTGAGATATTTTCTCCTTAATACGCACAGTTAGCTGAATGTCAATCCTTTGCAGGTTGACATCCTAAAGAGCTGTAAACACTATGGCTCTGTGGCATTTCAAAACATTGCTCAGCTTGTTTGAGCAGTCCAACATGTTATCTTGTCCCAAACCTCAGATTGTCCATTGTAAGTTGCTTTGGATAAATAATCTGCTGAAATGAATGTAGTAGAGGATAGTTGCCACCTATGTCGTGCAGCAAAACCCAGCCTATTATCCTCTAAAATTAAGCTAGGTTAGCGCTGATGACATTACAATTCTTGTGTCTTGGAGCGAGGCGATCTGTAGGCTACGCTAGAGCTCTTCAGCTAGGCCCGAAGAGGGTTTTGCACACCTTCCCCTTGGCCCTCTTTGAGACACTGGAGGATTCAGGAACTAGGACAGTTGCTTTAATTTTAGCTGCTCCAGCCCTCTGGCAGCACAGAACGGCTTTGTACTTCAACTTTTTTTGGCTAAGACCTGCAGAGGAGCTCAAAAGTTTTCAGCGCTCTCGAAAACAGGACATGTCAAATTGTAAGATAAATAAAACTGTCCTCATTCCTAGAAAAAGTTTATGCAGACTTCTTGCTTGCAATAGCCGATCTTCCACTGTCGGGCCGGTGTGAGCCAGTGCTTTAAATGGGCCGGACGGGGCTAATAGCCTCGGACCTGTAGCACCGAGGCCAAAATCACGCTGCGTTTCCACCGTTGGGCCAGAAGCTCCGTTGCACTTCACTAAAATCTGCCCTTTACACGCCTTAAATATTATCAAAATTTGAATTATATTCCAATTTAAAATGCATAATTTCAGTTAGGGTGAAGAAAAGCTCTTGGCTTCTCTTCTGAGGCCACAAGAGGGACTAATAGCCTCGGACCTGTAGCACCGAGGCCAAAATCACGCTGCGTTTCCACCGTTGGGCCAGAAGCTCCGTTGCACTTCACTAAAATCTGCCCTTTACACGCCTTAAATATTATCAAAATTTGAATTATATTCCCATTTAAAATGCATAATTTCAGTTAGGGTGAAGAAAAGCTCTTGGCTTCTCTTCTGAGGCCACAAGAGGGAGTATTGAGCAAAATATTACTAATGCACGTTTATTCAAAGCATAAGATAACATGACTATCTGTGAAAAAAGTGCATAATGTTTAAAATAATGTTTATAAACCATTTATAATTAATTAAGTTGCTTAAACAACTATAAACAAAACAGCATCATGTATGTAAGCATAGTTAGGGTTAGGGTTAGGTTAGAGTTAGGGTTAGGGTTAGGGTTACACAGCCTAATGCACGTTTATTCAAAGCATAAGATAACATGACTATCTGTGAAAAAAGTGCATAATGTTTAAAATAATGTTTATAAACCATTTATAATTAATTAAGTTGCTTAAACAACTATAAACAAAACAGCATCATGTATGTAAGCATAGTTAGGGTTAGGGTTAGGGTTAGGGTTACACAGCACATTTTTCATTTAAAAACATGAGATGCAGTGAGATGGGGGAAAAAAACCCCGCCATAAAGTCTCGAGATATGTTTTTTTTCCAAGTTAAACTTGCATTAATTTTACATGGCTTTCTAAACATGCGGCTCGTTTGTGTGAGATGTGAGTGCAACAGTAATAGATGTCCCTCTAGAAAATGCGCGAAATATGTGTTCTGTGTGAACGGCTTGGTTTCAGTTTTGATATAAACAAGATCTTCTCCGCATTGATGTTCTCTTTTTCCGCAATATTTTTAATGAACAATGCAGCAGCGCTGCAAAAACATTATAATGCAACGTCACTTACACAGTCATCGCATCTCGTGCGCCACTGCAACGTTTTTGCATTCGAATGTGGATTTTTATTTTAAATTAAACAAATATTCAAAATTCAAATTTTTGTTGACAGCCCTATTGCTCAGTGATATATTGAGAGTATTTTTAACAGTCTTTTGGAATGTTTATATTATCATACAAAATTGACAAAAAACATTTTTTGAAAAATGATTTTAAGGAACTGGCTTTTGTTAAAGGGATATAACAACAGATGAATAACCTTTAGGAAAACTCAGAATACATTTATTTATTTTAATTTAGGAAAAAAACAAACAAAATGAATCAGAACCATTCATCTCTTCCTCTTTACTATGAAATAAACATGAATGAACATCAGAAGGAATGCTGACAGAAACAGTACAACTTACTGAAAGGTATCACATCTCATGTAATCACTCAGTCAGTGTTTCAACCATGGAAAGACATCAATAAAACAGCTTGTAAGCATTGTCACGTAACATTACATTTACCACAGGAAAGTCATTCAGCCTCCGTAAACTCATTAGTCAGTTAGATTAAGAACTTTAGGTTTTGATTAATATTTGCACTGTACTGTATTACATATAATTGTTTTTACTTATGTCTTTATTATTTAATGTATGTTTCAGTAAATCTGTCATGATTTATTACAGCCACTGTTGAAATGTTTATATTTCAACTACAAATTGAAGAGAAATAAAAATTTGTATTGAAGTTTGTATAGAAACTGCCTCAAGCGCAGTGTAAATGTTTATGCATGTTTAATATTTAAGTGTTGATTTATTAATTCATTATTAAATTAACTTTATTTTCTGTTTCTTGATGAACTGCAAGAGCTTAATCTAGCACTTTATTTCGAAGTGCTGTTTTTATTCAGTCTATCAGCAAAGCCCTGGGTTTTGAAATTATTGTTTTGTAGAACAATACTGTATGATGCTCCTGAAATAAAACTCTGTTAAAACATTGTGACCAAATATTTGTATGTATACCATATATCAAGTTAGTATCAATTCAGGAGATAAGCCCTAAATTGATTCAGGAGTCCCAGCCCTTATAGCAAGGCATATTCGATGGGAACATGACTACATAGATGAAAGACATGTTTATCTTTTTTTATTTTCTTTACTTTATAGTAGCAGCATGTGTGAGCACACATGCCAAAGAGAATTGCGTTATTCACATTTACTGCTCCGTTCATATGTTTACAGATGAGCCAGCCAGCCCTAGTGTAGACCATGATGGCAGCCATATTCCTGCATCGGCTGTGATCTCTGGAGCTCAGGCTGTAATCTCTGACAGCCCTAGCCCTACCACCCCCAGCCCCCTCATGCGCCGGCAACTGTCTCATGACCAAGGTAAGCATGTCTGTACAGATTTCAGATTTTCTTTTAGCAATTATTGCCATCTGAGCGCACCACGTGAATGGATCAGTGAGCATTTTGTTGAGCTTGTTGCTGATGTTGTATTTTTGTCTACATGCATGCAGAGTCTCTCAGAAATGCCATTCTGGAATCGGGAACCAAAACGGAGCGCTCAAAATCATACGATGAAGGCCTGGACAACTACCGGGAGGAAGGCCGTGGGTAAGTGACGATTAAAAGCGTCGGATCATAATGTTGGATTACTGATACTATCATTGAGTGGTTTGACCTAACATAGTAATTAATTTCCACAGACGATCCAGCAAACCGAGTCTAAGGGTCTTCAAGAAGGTGAGAGACGCACATAAAAATCTCCCTCATAAAGAGCAGCTTTATTTAAACCAGAATGGTCATTCACTAATAATGCCAACAAAGTCTCTGTTCCAAAACCTTGTGAGATGCCTATGTTTGGAGTATTTTAAAGGGGTCATGAACTGCCTTTTTTCATCATTTTGTACTGTTCTCTGAGGTCCACTTATAATGCTGTCAAGATCTTTACATCAAAAAACATAACATTTTAGCAGTAATAGGCTATTTTCTGTCCTGTTTTGACCCCTTCATCCGAACGCTCTGTTTGAGTAGGCGTGGTGGATTGTCGGCTCGAAGTAAACGCCCACTGCTATGATTGGCTAACAGCTGTGTGTTTAACAGCTACATCCTTCACAGATGGCCGCTGCTGTGATTTAAGTTAAAAACACATAAATACTCAGCACGTATCAAACGATCTGTAATAACAGACAAAGCAATAGTGACCAAATAATAAAAACAGAAGGAAGGCAATGCAAAGACTGTATTTTTCCACAACTTGGCTCTGCACAGTGTCTTGTCTTCGGAGCATCTTTATCGTTTGGTTTCTGCATAGACCTGTGTTTGCCTCTTGTTATTTACACTACATGCGTGAACTGGTGGGTGGGGCTAAACAGGCAGTGATGTAGGAGCAGGCTTTGATCTACTTCTCCGGAGGCGGGGTTTAGCCACACTATTACATCATAAAGTGCAACATCCCACAACTTGTCGTTTTGGCAGATTGGCTTCAATATAAGCTGCTTTTAACTTACAGGATGTTTTATAGTACAGTGACCTCTTATATGTCAAAAGATCAAGGTGAATTTAGATTTATCTGTTCATGACACCTTTAAGGATTTGCCTAAAGGTCAATCCAAGATATCTCCTCTTAGTCAAATTCAAAGGCAATCCTATTGAAGTATTTGGACAAAAATGCATCCAAAGTGGTCAACGACATTCCACAACCTGTCGTTTTGGCAGATTGGCTTCAATATAAGCTGCTTTTAGACTAACGAGAAAGTTTTGCGTTTGGAAACTTACAGGATGTTTTATAGTATAGTGACTTCTTATATGTCAAAAGATCAAGGTGAATTTAGATTTATCAGTTCATGACACCTTTAAGGCTTTGCCTAAAGGTCAATCCAAGATATCTCCTCTTAGTCAAATTCAAAGGCAATCCTATTGAAGTATTTGGACAAAAATGCATCCAAAGTGGTCAACGAATGAAGTGACACCTCAAAACTAAGTATAAAGAGGTCAACAGATGCAATTCAAAACTGGCCATGGCTGCATATTCGTTTCCTTCTGTTGAACACGCCAAAATTGGATGAATTGGATACATAAACGGTTGAAAACTATTGCGATCTTGCTAATGGGCACACCAATTGGGCACACCAAACTACCATGTGATTAATTACTGTAACCGCAGGGAAATGACAACCGGATAAAGCTGGACTGGCTGGTAGCCAACTGGCCATCACTATCGGTTATCCTGCTGTGACGTCGAAGGCAGCAGACAGGGAAAAATCTATTTTATGCTTTTATGTGTGTTCCAAAAATCAGGCTCTGATAAAGCATCTGTTGTATACATTAAACTATTTCTGATATTTTCAGAAATCTGATTTATATTTTCTTGATTTATAATTTTTTATTATAGCAAATGGCTGCAATATAACAAAGAGTGAAAAATTTAAGGGGGTCTGAATACTTTCCGTACCCACTGTATATGATGAGGTAGGGACACACCAAACTGACACCAAAGAACTAGCGCTGAGGAAAGCAATGCATCGCATCGCATCGCCTGCATTGGGGCAAAAATGTTGCACTAGAAGACACTGGACAGACTACAGCAGATGGCCATTTAGCGTGTACGCTCTGCACTTACATGACAGAACATAACTGTCCCATACCAGCAAGTGGCAGTCGTCTGTATTCGGCATTCAAACAGGAAAATCGGAAGAGCTAGAATTGTGGATATACAAAACAAGCAGCGCTTGCTTTTACCATTGTTTACTCCAGCCGTGCTCTGCTGAGCTCCGCTGCCAATTCGACATGCAGAATCGGTTAAAACACAGCTGATGGCATTTGACTAGTGCCAATGGTGCGGAACACACCGAAAAAACTAAAGCCGGGCAATGCTCAAAAACCACCCGACATTGCCCGATGGCCAGTCATCAGCTTGGTGTGTGCCGAGCTTAAGATTGCCCTGTGTTCAGTGTCCAGTAATATGTGTGTCATTACAGTGCACCCAGCAGTAAGACAGAGCCGTCACCCAAAACCTCACGGCAGTCCCTCAGCATTAGACACACCCTGCTGGGCAGCAGCAGTAAGAGTCAGAGCCTCTACTCGCCCAGAAACGAACAGGAGAGGAGTAAAGGTAGCACACGGCATAATGAAATAACACTGAAACCCATCATGTGTGCTTGATCTCAGTGAAATGTTAATGTTAGCGATATGTGTCTCAGATGACTCCAGTCCTCCGAGAGATAAAGCCGCTTGGAGGAGAGGAATTCCAGGACTGAAGAAGAAGCTTCAAGATAAGAGGCCCACTGCTGGCGTCATGTTTGGAGTACGATTGGATAATTGCCCTCCTGCACAAACAAACGGAGTAAGAAATTCAAGAGATTACAAATGCACTACTGCATAATGCAAATTAAACCATTATGGGTGAAACTCACATAAACATGTCAAGGTTTCATTTCATTCCAAGAGCAAGTGGAAAAAAAACATTTTAATTAGATTTTCAATGAAGAAACTTACGCCTTAACAAATTTTTGCTTTGTGACATTATTAGTATATTTCCCACTCTATGTATCTGAATGTTTTACATTTGAATCTTTTTAAATTTTATATTACATTACAGAGAAGTAAAAAAAATTGTCATGATGGGAAAATATGAATGGTTCAAAAATAGGTTCCATTTTCTTAATGGAAAATTTACTTTGGGGTGAAAAATTACCTCCTTTTGGAGTTTTGTGACATTATATGGTATTAAAAATAACACTAACTATTGTGTTATAGTTTGTTCCTTTGATCGTGGAGGTGTGTTGTAAGTTGGTGGAGGAGAGAGGGTTGGAGTACACAGGCATTTATAGAGTCCCTGGAAACAACGCTGCCATCTCGAGCATGCAGGAGGAACTAGACACTAAAGGCATGACAGACATTGATATCCAGGATGATGTGAGTAAACACTTTTGTATTGTGTGCTATTATACATGAGCGCTGGTACCATAAAGACAGACCTGATCTTTATGCTTTTATTTTGTTCAGCAGAAGTGGCGAGACCTCAATGTGATCAGCAGTTTGCTTAAGTCCTTTTTCAGGAAACTTCCTGAGCCTCTCTTTACTAATGGTGAGACACATTGATCGCATAGAATAGATGATTCTTCTGGCTTTATACAAAACGCATGGAAAATACTGTGTGCTGTCTCTCATAGAGAGCATCTCATATCGAAGGAAATTTTGCATCTCAGCTCTTTTTTCTACACATGTGGAGGAAGGACTCCTCCAAGAGGACAACATGGGCCATAGCTCATATGGTCATAGAAAACCAGGCATAGTTTCCAAGCCTGAAAATGTTTTATATATATATAGAGAGAGATTTTGCGTATGTTCAGCTGAGGGTACCCTGATTAATACACTTCAGGACTGTTCTAATAATGCTTGTTTGCTCTGATCTTAGATAAATATTCCAACTTTATTGACGCCAATCGAATGGAGGACCCTGTTGAGAGGTTAAAAACACTGAAGAGACTGGTACGGTTTATCTGAAGACCGCTGTTGATTTACGAAATACTGACATTTACTAGATTAGAGAAAGAACAATATTTAAAATCAGCAATAAAATCCTCAACAGATAACGGGTATAAATCATATTTACTATGCTTATTCTGCCCAGATTCATGAGTTACCAGACCATCATTATGAAACACTCAAGTTCCTCTCTGCACATCTCAAAACTGTCTCTGAAAACTGTGAGAAAAACAAGGTATGGGCTTTGTAAATGTTCGTTTCATTTACCCGGTCTAGGCGAGTTCAACAACCTATTACAAGAAATGATGAATGAAAATACTTTAATCAACTGGTTTTGTAGATAGTATTATGTCACTGTAAATCATCACTTTCATAAAAGTTACACATTAAATAATATAATCAAATCATAAAAACTGCAGTGTTGCTCAATTTTGTCTGTCACAGCTTGTCCGAAGAACCTGGAGGCTGGAAGCACAAATGCTTGTTGTGTGACGTGGATTTCTCTTACAGATTGAAAAGCATTTGAAAGCCAGTAACGGAATCTTTTTATGTATTTAATTAGATGGAGCCACGTAACTTGGCCATTGTGTTTGGCCCAACTCTTGTCAGAACCTCTGAAGACAACATGACGCACATGGTCACGCACATGCCTGACCAGTACAAGATTGTTGAGACTCTCATTCAGCAAGTAAGAGCTTTTTTCTTTCATCTCTGTAAATTGATGTCTGAATTCTGCTTAACTTTCTGTCTGCTTTACTCTTCTACAGTGTGATTGGTTCTTCACAGAAGATGGAGATGAAGAGCCAACGGTGAGTCTGTAGTTTTTTCTGAGTGGATTTCTGAGCCCTAAACAAACATCCCCCTGCTATCACTCTCCAAGAACTGGAGACTTCAGGGTAACACTGGTCAGAAAAATCATCCTCATTTTCTCAGTTTCCCTATTGTCCCATTTCCACCTGGTTCACCTCGCTTTTGTAATAATAATAATAGTAATTCATTACATTTATATAGCGCTTTTCTAGGCACTCATAGCGGTTTATATTGTCAGGGGGAATCTCCTCATCCACCACCAGTGTGCAGCATCCACCTGGATGATGCGACGGCAGCCATAGTGCGCCAGAACGCCCACCACACACCAGCTCATTGGTGGAGAGGAGACAGAGTGATGAAGCCAATCAGTAGATATGGGGATTGTTAGGAGGCCATGATGAACTATAACTGTAGAACTATTTAGTCGCAGACAACATCGAGAAACTTCCTACTCCCTTACCGGGACAGATTTATATTTTTGGGACCCCAAGGAGAGTTCGGATCTGATGCATTATTTCATTTTTACAGAACAAAAGCTGCATTACAGGTATCTCTGAAACTAGGGTTTGAGGCAAGTTAGATGCTTACTTGAATATAGCTTCATGCAGCTTTGCATCTTTTTACTGAATTGATGAGAACCGCTTTAACTTAGCGTACAGTGCACAGGTCATACACTCATAGCATACAGTGCTCACCATGCTGTCTTTAAAAGGCTGTGGATACTGATCCGTGAGTTAAATCCACTGCTGTTTAATTCAGACTTGCATTGTCTTTTAAAAAGCTGAATACAAAATCAACAAAGAACTAATAAACTAACCACTTCCACTGTATTTCTGCTCTTCACTTTCATTCAGTAATAAATTCAAAATTTATTGTAAGTCCTGATTTGCTGGAAAATAAGAGAAACATGGATTTATTCAATCACTTTATGGACATGATAGGCCCCAAGCATTTGCATGTTTTGCATGGAGGGTGAAACTGCCACTGCTCACAAAACACATAATCTTTGCAAACAGTGTTTTATAAAGAAAAAGACAACATTTGTTTGTTTGGAAAAGCTCAAACACACACTGCTCAAAATGGCATCGAAAGTTCGCTATTGCTCATGTTAATGACATATGAATTTCACCTCTCTCATTGCTTGTTTTTGTCAGACCACCGTGGAGCAAGAGAGCACAGTTCAGTCTCAGCCTGTGCCCAACATTGACCATCTGCTGACCAACATTGGCCGCACTGCTCCATCACCGGGAGACGTCTCAGGTAATCTTGCGTTCATAGTCCAACTGTTCCAGCCTAGGGCTATGAGTTTAGAAGAATGGATATTACTTAAAACCAAAGTGAGACGTTCAGTGTGTTCAGATGTTACTGTGTGTGTGTATGTTCACACTCTTACTATATTTCAGATGATAAGCAGATGCTCATGCTTTCCATTAGATCTGTCAATGTTTAGAGCAAAACAAAAGCAAGCTTGCCAGAAATGTCTTGGTGCATATGTAAAGGTGAACTATTTTAGCAATTTTGCGTATTTGATGAGCTATCTGAAAAAATTGGATAAAATAGTTCCTATGTATGTGAAGCTTATGAATCAACCTTTTTTCATTGAATTTTTTCTTTACCTTCCGCCATTGTTTTAGACTTGTTGCCTTTATTTCAATGCTATGATTTCTCCAGAATTCTCCTTTTGCTTTGGTTTGTATTGGTTTGAACCTCACTCATTGTCATCCCTCCCCTAATGCTTTAGTCTCTGTTATGACTCCACTCCTCCTTTTCTTTCAGTTCTTTTCCCTCCTTACCCTTCTCTTGTGCTAACTCGGCGTGTTCTTTCCCAAAAGAAATGGAAAAATCAATGATAAACCACCAAAGGATTGCCCGTCTGACCCATCTTGTCTGTAGTGTTTTTCTTCTCCCTTGTCCCTGTCCAGCACTGCTCACACATTACCCAATCTTGACACAGGCCAAGTGGGCGGCGTCTATCACTCGGTGATGTCACTGATGGACTCTGTAATGTCTGTGATGGACAGCTGGGACTGTAGGAAGAAGGAGGAGTGTTGTCCCCAGTGTAGCTGCCTAGTCTGCAGAAATCCCCGATTCTTATAAATTGAAAGCGAATCCGGGACAAACCCACCAGAAAACAAAAGAAACAAAAAAAGAGTGTCAGAGAAGTTGATATTTGTCATCGTCGTGCTGCACGTTTCATATCTTATAAGACTATTATTAACAGAGAGGATACACAGCTGTGATGGTGTAATGTGTCTGAAAAGCCTCTTTGCTGTCTCTCGTTGTCTCTGAAGCTGACCACAAGGAGTTCTAGCATGGTATGGTCTTCAGGATTTCCTCCAGTCTTGTGGCGTACAGTAACTGTCATTGATGATGTCTGAAGGGGTGTGGTGAGGGGCTGAGCCGGCTCAAATCATAAAGCTCCCGACGAATGTCATACCATTCAAAAGCATTAGTATCTCTTGATGGAGAGTGAGCAAAGGGGCTTTTGAGTGGTGAAGTAGCCCATCGTAAGGACTCGCTTCCTCCTCGTAGCTGCTCTACCACCTTATAGCTTTGGCCCCTTTAGCCCCTTTCTGCCCTCCTGTCATATCTGACCCTTGTTGTCCCTTGTCATAGTCTCTCAGTGCTTTAATTCATTCTGCATCTCCATGTTCTGCACCGACAAGCTGATACCGTTCAACACAAACATGGTTCCCCAAGTGACTGATGTTAAATGTAAACGGCGATTTTCTGCGACGTAGCAATGACTGACTGCAAGCGTTAGTTAGAAACCATTTAACTACTCATGAAAATGATCAGAGACGTGATGTAGTGGCAACCAGTGGAAGTACAGACTGTGCAGGTCGCATAGTACACCAAAGCACAGTATAACAACATGGCGACTGCTAAAACGTGAACTATTTAAAATGTTCCACAACAACTTGACGTCTCTGTGTCTGTTTTATAAAAACACACCTTATTATCCTGTATTTCAAATGTCCCGTATCTAAACTTGTCGCAATGATCACAATTATTTAACCTAGTTAGGCATCGGACGATGTCTACCAAATTGGCATCGGACGATGTCTACAGTGAAACATCGTGATGGACGATGGCATCATCTATCGGCCCAACCCTAAACCTAATAGCCACTTATTTCCTTAAAATGCTAGAAATAGCATGAAATATATTACATAGTGGTGACAAAATTACAAAGCAGGTGAAAAAAACACAAAACTTAACTTCCTAAACAAAATCAAACATGTTATGTTTGCAAGCTTTTTTGCGAACAAGTGGCTCAATATGTATGCGTATTAAGCATATGAATCCCATGATGCAATGTAACCTAAGCTAAGGTAGGTTTACAAAAGTAAAGAATAAAGCACACTCAGCCATCACTAAAAAATAGCAGCAGCATTCAGTTTCCGACCAGATTCGCTACAACTCTCATCCCTTAATACATAGTAAGGATGTCCATCCCTGCCTTGGTGATGTCTCTGAGTTGGGAAAGAATGCCTGTAGACGTGTTCTGCTGGCTCTGTGTGTGTTTGTCAGTGATTGGCGGTTTAACTGTGGACAGGCTGTCTGTCTGTGTGAATGTGTGCATGAGCTGCCTCCTGTCTTACTGCACACTGCCGGGTTCTTGTCATCACTCATTTCTCTTTCCTCCATTTCTCTCTGTGACATGGCTTAAGTGTGTCGCCTTCATCTCTCAGATCTCTACATGACTCCACTGTTTGTGCTGTTCCACTGCTGTTGTGGTGAAGGATATTTACTTATCGTCTCCGGCTCTATGTCCCTGCTGTATTCCACTTAAAATATCTTGCTTACCTTTTTTTATCCTTGTTTCACTAGATTCAACCACCAGTGACTCTGCTAAATCAAAGGTGAGTACTTTTTTTTTTTTTAAGGAGATCATTACAAAATCAGTACATACAAAAGGAGACAATTCCCTGAGATTGATCACATTGCATTGTAAACTTACACTTGTCGTTATGTGCTTGGTTCTGTAGCAGGGTTCTTGGGGATCTGGTAAGGACCAATGTAGTAGAGAGCTGCTGCGTACTTCCATCTTTGCTAGCCGCAAACGCAAAAAGCCTAAGGACAAGCCTCAGCCGAGCAGCTCTGATGATGACCTGGATGCTAGTTTCTCTAAGAAAGATCTTCCAGTGCAAAATGATCCAAATTGGCGTGCTGATGACCAAACTGAGGATGCTGAGAGTGAAGTTGGACTTGATGACCAAATAGAAAGGACAGAGGATGATGAGCAGAGCCCAGGAGACAGCCTTGACCTAACCTCTGAAAACAAGCAGCTAATTTCCGAACATCTGCCCCAGGAGACTTGTTCTTCACCTAAGATCATTGCATCGCCCAAACCTAGTTATCACATGACTCGCCAGAGTTCCTTGTCCGATCCTCCCTCCAACTACGATGACGGATGTGTCTCGGATCTGGGCACGCTTAACAGCACCAGTTCACAGGCCTCAGTACCCAGGATGAGGCACGGGAGGACACCAGGCCACTGGATGGAGGATACAGGAATGGGCCCAGGAGCAGAGGTCTGCTCTATCACATCAGATTACTCCACCACCTCCTCCATGACCTTCCACACAGGGGTGGAGTCCATCGCCCTCAGTCCGGAGGTGCAATCTGTTGCAGAAAGCCGCGGGGATGATGCTGACGATGAAAGAAGCGAGCTCATTAGTGAGGGGAGGCCCATGGAGACTGACAGTGAGAGCGATTTATCGGTCTTTGCCGGTGGCCGAGATAGCGGGCCGACTGAAGATAGCAGACAGCTGGAGGGCAGCGTCACACCTCTGCAAGATGTACCCAACCTAATCCCCTCCCATCGAATCATCGCGTGCGACACCCTGGCACGCAAGAGAGGGAGTCGGCAGAAGACGGACAGCGAGTCTTCAGCAGACGGGAACCGCAGTGACAAGGAGTCTAGTCGGCTCTCGCGAGTGTTAGAGGCAGTCAAAGGCCGCTCCACCGGCAGTCTGAGCTCTTCCTCTCGCAGCGAATCAGAGCGAGCCGAACCCATGTGGCGAATCAAAATCACAGACCGGTTAAAGTGTCGACTGAGGACGTCAGCAGATGACATGTTCGGGGTGGGTTCCCAGTGCACCAGGTCACCCGAGACTCGAAGTAAACGGAAAAGCAATATCCGCCGCAGGCACACCATGGGTGGTCAGCGAGACTTTGCAGAGTTGTCGGTAATTGGGGACTGGCAAACAGTCGAGAGCAATGAGCTCTCGGCTATGGATCGCTTAAAGCCCAAGTGTAGTTCGCAGGACTTCTCCATCAGAGACTGGATCGCTCGAGAGCGACACCGAGCCAGCAACCCTGAAGTTAGTCTGGACTTACTGGACCTGCACCCTTCCCGATCACGGGACCTGTTATCCGCTGGGTCCTCGCACTCCCACTTGGGTCAGCTCCTTAATGGAGATGTAGCGGCCGCTCAGAGCAAGAGCCTAAGCCTGGCTGCAGATGCCCACCCTCACAAACTCTCTGGTGCACAAGTGGTCCGTTCCCGTTTCTATCAGTACCTGTGAAAGTGTGTGTGAGTGAACGCTCATGTATAGGAGTACACTATTTGAGTGTCTGAGTATTGGCATGTTTTAAGGTACTTGAGTGATGCTTGTAAGCCATGTTGGCATCAACGAGTCGATATCATGAGCGAGAATGTGTGTGTGATGTGAGATCGAGAGAAAGAGTGTATGAAATTGCTATCGAGCGTTCTCGGAGAGTTGCAAGAAATGTTTTTAAAACATCCTGTGATATTTCCTTCTGTGAATGAAATTATGTACCGATCCAATGTTGTACAGCGAACAGAGGCCCTCTCACTGTTGGCTGAAGTGCAGTATTGCTGGAAAACTGGGAGAGCTCGAATTCCAGCGAATATGGATTTTAGATTCGAGACGTCACACAATGGAGCAGTTGTAGTTGGCTTGGAAGATAAAGGCAAGTAACCGAGAAATAGGCTGAGCAGGTAGGTCAATAGGATGTTGAGAAGACTAGAGTGTCTTGAGCCTTGATAAAAGATTAATTTTATTGGAAGTGTAAACGCCTCGTGTTGCGATAGATCCTCAGTAACCAAAACAAGAATGTATCTGCTTGTTGTAATACTAAACAAACTGCCATTTTCATTTATGAAGTGTATATATTTCCCCTTTTTGTGCTTTTTTAGTTTATTCTGCCTGTGTTTGGACTGCTTTGTGTGCTGTGCTTTGGAAAGGTGTCTGTTTAGTTTTTCTTTTCTTTTTTTTAAGTGCAGTGCATGGCAGACACTCGGCACAGTAAAAAAATTTTAAATAACGGAAGACAAAAAGGAACTCCGTTTTACTGATGCAATTTGCAGTGTACATGTTACTGTTTGTTGTAATACGACTACTGAGACATGATTACTGTCTCTGGCATAAAGCTGGAAAAAAAGATGAGAAAAGAATGGATTGTTAAAGAACAAATCAGGTGTCTTTGGATCATGAAAGTGCCTCATATTGAATACCGATCTTGGGTTGTTGAGGGTGCCACATCTCAGATACATAAAAATGTTTTAAAGATATGTATTTTATTTTTTTTAAATAAAAAAACTCAGCCACGCTTTCACACATTCATGGAAAAATGAGACGCTTCCATTCCTACAGCATTCCTCCTGGGTCTTAACACTATTTTAATGCATTATTGTTTTAAGTTTTGCATTTGGTATTTTAACCAGACTTGAATTTTAAATATTCCTGTAAAGTAAGTAACTTAATTGTACATATCTATTACATGTTGTAGCTGCTCCTCATCCTCCGGTCATTTTCATTGCATCAATTTCTTTTTGTAAGTATTGTACGATACAGAGGTGAGGTTAAGAGACCCGGGAGAGTGAACGCGAACATGCTAATCGTCTCTGGGGTCTCCAGTCTCCCTGTGTGTGAACAATGCCTCCCTAACTGTTTGTATCATGCTGGGTCTGCTCATATGGTGGACGCACATTGTAAAACACTGGAAAATAAACCCTTTTTTGTCTGATAAATAATTAGTGCTGTTATTTCATTTCCTCATCAATTTCAGATTTACACCACAAGGGGGCAGACTGCCATTTCAGGAATTTGCATAATTGTGATGGTTAAGAACAAAACGCTGAAACTTTATCCAATAAATGTGAACAGCATAAATGCAGCCATGCAGTATCTTGCTTTTAAGTGAATAAACAAAATAGCTTTCAAAATGCTTTATGTACAGGGTACACACAAGTAGGGACCAAAACAGTTGTAATTGACACGCGTCAGTGCGTCTGTTTACAAGACAGGATTTCACTTACAACAATAAATTCAGTGGAACCACATAGGAACATTCAAGCTGTCAAAAGTAACAACACGTAAATAGATACATTAAAACAAAAGAAACCATCTTGCCTCCATGCCAAATTATAGAGCAAGAAAATATATTCTATGCATAACGTTTTTTCAAAGACATTTGTAACCACATATGAGAAAAACAAGACACATAAAACAGACCTGCCCAAAGACACTAGTCCTATGTATTCTGTGTTCACAGATAATCTACTGGATTACTTTACAACTCAACTAGTACACAGGACTGTAAAGAAAATGTTCTTGGCAGGATTGTGGCATGGTTCTCTTTGATAACATAAAACTTTATTTCTAAACTTTTTTTTTTTTTTTTAATTTGTCCATAAATTATTGGTCCTACCTCATGGACTGCCTGTCTTAAGCAGGTTTACTCCAATAAGGCACAGTGACTAAATGAATATCCATTTGCAGCTGCACTAAAAAAAAAAAAAAAATCAAGACTACTTTTCAGAAAGGGCCGATTCACAAATGAACAATATGCCATTGTGCCCTCATGCGGACGCTGATGTGGATAGTTACAACAACTGTTTTACAGTAGCACATTTGATGGAACAAATAGCCTCATGAAATGAGCAGAACAAATTCCTGTATAAATTTGTATGTAAATGCTTTATGCACATTTGTTCAGCTCCAATAATTTTTTATGTAAATTACCACAGTCAACTGACATATGAAATGGTTTTATAAATATTTCGCACAAATTCATTCAGGATGAATAGGCTTGATAACGATGACATTGACGACAGAAACAAATGGGTTCACAAGGACATTTATACCCAAATAAAGGCCGTAAACTGGTTTGAACTCATCAGAACGTTACACAGCAGGGAAAATAATGCTATTGAGTAAATTTGCAGCTTTTAATTCCGGCCAATCATTCTTCTGTATATTGTGCTGTCGTCTCTTAAAGCTTTCTGTCAGCAATGCATGAATTACAGAACACAAGCAAAAGAGTTTTGACTGAATCACGCACGTCCAGCTGGTTTTCTCATACTGCTTGTGTGGTGCTTTGAGTATGAGTTGGTTCATCATGTACCTCCACAGGTTATTATATCACCAAGTCATTCAGATTCTTTCCTGAAGGCAGTGAGCCAATCAGAGTTGAGGGGCGTGGTCTATGCAGAGGCTCAGGAGAAGCCATCAGAAATACTATGGGGATGGAGGAGTGGGGGATGGAGAGGAGGAGTTTGCATATTGGGCTGTAAGCTGGCTTGTGCTGGATCTGAGCAGAACTTTAACCATCATCCTCGTTGTCCTGCTCCACTTTATCTTCAATCGGTATCTCTGGGGGTCTGAAACACTCCACAAAGAAGTTGACCAGCGATTGACTCAGATGTAGCTGCGAGTCTCTCGAGTGAAGGAAGTGGCCTTCATCTGGGTAGATCTGTCAAACAAACAAAACTCATTCAGTCAAGTACCAATCATTTTACTACACTAATGTGACTGATTTCTGAATGTATCACACACACACACACACACACATATATATATATATATATATATTGGGGAAAGTTACTTTTAAAAGTAATGCATTACAATATTGCGTTACTCCATAAAAAAGTAACCTAATTACGTTACTTAAGTTACTTTTTATCTAAAGTAATGTATTATGTTACTTTTGCGTAACTTTTTTAATCGGGACAGGGCTTGCTTGTTTGTTTTTAAAATAAAAAAGTTCTATTTTTGGCAAATATAAAAGCTTTTTCACACCAAAAGTAAAATGAATAAGCCTCAGGCTGAAGGGAAAGTACAGTAGAATGCAGAAGAAGAAATTACAACACACTTCAGCAATAAACAGACACACAAATGTTTGTCTAGAGTAATTTGTGCTTATTAGTACGCTTGAACTGGATCATCGAAGCTCAGAAGCAAATAGAATGGGATTAAATACATAAAGGATATTTGTGTTGTTTAACATTTAATTATTGCAGGTTTGCGTCATATTCTGAGTTGCATTATTTTTATTCATTTTGAAGAATACTGAATCTGTTTTTTTTTGTGAGATGAATTAATGCATATTCATATTTACTTTAGAACTACAGTAACATCTTCTGTTTTCTCTCAACATGGGGACAGGAGAGCTGTCAGTCAATAAATTGGAAAAAATTAAAAAGTAATGCATTACTTTACTAGTTACTTGAAAAAAGTAATCTGATTACGTAACTCGCGTTATTTTAATGCGTTACCCCCAACACTGTATATATATAGAGAGAGAGAGAGAGAGAGAGAGAGA